ACCTGCAAGAGAATGGGGAGGGGGGCTTGGGGTGGAGAAAACAAACAAACAAAGGACAAAAAACAAAAACAGCGACAACCAGCCGAACAGCAGCAATAAACAGCTGGCATAAGAAAACAACACGGCACAGCCATGAGAGCTGGAATAATAACTCATTTAAAAAGGTAACTTAATGAAAAAGCATAAAGAATAATTGTACCTGTGACAACTAGGGACAACCTAAATTTGTGTGTGTCTATGTGTGAGAGAGTGTGTGTGTCTGTGGGCGGCTGTGGCTCAGGAGGTAGAGCGGGTTGGCCGTTAATGGGAAGGCTCCCCCAGGCTGTATGTCGAAGTGTCCTTGGGCAAGATACTGAACCCCGAATTGCCCCTGGTGGCTGTTCCGCCAGTGTATGAATCTGTTTGAGCACTTAGGCTCAGTGTATGAATGTGTTTGACTGGTACTAGTGTAAAAGCGCTTTGAGTGGTCGAAAAGACTAGAAAGGTGCTATACAAATACGGAGCATTTACATGTGGGTGAATGTGTGTGCTTAAGCCTGTTATAGAATGTAGTTGTGAGTGAGAGTGGGACGCCACAACCATATCGCACCGACCCCAGCGACAGGCAGGCAAGAACCCCAGTAGCCAATAGGGGTGGCTCCCAGACGCATCGCGAAGTGAAGACACCGACCCCACCAACAAACGGCAAATCTATCTAGCAATGCTGATGGAACACAAAAGGCATAAAAACGGCAGCAAACGCGATGTGCAGGTCTCCGTGCGTCTGGTAATAAAAGTCCACTGTCCCCACAACCGCTGGAAAAGCCAACCAACATCTGCCATGCTCAGCTGCATGTCACCACCCACCCATCCCAGAACAAACCAGTGCACAGCTCTGCCCTGCACACACACTACACATTCCAACAACAAACTTTATACTTCAGTCTCCAGAGGAGTCCGACAACCGACTACAGATCTGAGGCCAACGAAGCAAACCAGGGACGCAAACTCGTCCCTCCAAACCGACCAGGAGATGCCTCCCCAGGACTCCATTGTGCAAACTAAATGCCTGACAGCTATCCAGACATCCTGCGCATCAAGATGCATCAACAATAGCACCTACAATAGCATTGCAGTCCTCCAAACCGCAACTGAATCGACCTGTGAGGCGCCCAGAGACCCCCACCCCCAGTAGCCAGGGCACCCCTCGACTCCCCGAAGTGCAAAGGACCCGAGACCACAGGTCCCGGGGACAGCCAATCCCGAGCCCCCAGGGAAAACAGCAGAGAGCTGTGCTGCACCACCAGGGAGCAAGAACATGGGAGAACCATGGCTGACAGTCCCCCAGCCCAGCCAGAGGCCATCCCCCCGAGTGCAGACAGAGCTAGCAGAGCCAGCAGCCCCCGCACCCCATGAACCCTAGCCCAGCCCCCCCAGGCAGCCACCCCCAAGGAAGAGGGCCACAACCCACCCCGACAACACCGGCCACCAACTACCGCACAAACAGTAATTTTTTGCCACGATCTGGTTACAAAAAGTATGGAATGAAGTAGGCTACTGGTTTGACTGGAGAAGTTTCGATTCTACTTGATACTGGGCTGTTTCGGTCAATACCATAAAGGTATCGAGTAGCAATACCCATCCCTAATAGCTACCCACCAAGAAAGCTAGGTAGATAAGATTAACTTCAAACAAGCATAGAAGTTCATAAAATTAGGTAGGCCCATGTAAAAAAATGTGTATACTTACATTACATTTCTGTTCACAAATTTGATGATGTAACTAGAACACATTTTTACATAATGCTTACTCAGACCAACAAGCAGTGGCCTTGCTTGGTTGTGATTAAAGTTTAGCTGAGGTCTGATATGGTGTGAGTGTTTTTGTAACAGTTCTGAGGAATCCCTTGACGTCAGAGTTACACGATGGAGCAAGAAGCGTGCGGAAAGTGAGATTTGACTGAGCCTACTTTGAATGTGCATGTGAAAGAGAGACGGAGTGAGAGAGAGAGTGATAGACTGAGAGAGAGGCCTTATGGTGACTCAGCATAACAAGGTCGGCTGGGCCTGTACGACCTCGTTCATCAAGTTGACACCCGGCTCTGTTTCTGCTCCTCTCCGGTGTGATTCACAAGGAGAATGCGAGAAGGAGAAAAAGATAAGAGAAGAGAGGGGAGAGAAAGGGAAGAAGGGATAGGAAGAGAGAAACGATGGCATGTGAGGAGAAACAGGACCATGAGCACCCAAGCAGGAAAGACGAAAAAGAGATGTTAAGGGGAGAACAAACACAAATGACAAGCAGACATTGAGCAAATAAATGTGTGAGTGAGATCACAAGCAGAGAACAGGGAGATGAGATAGTGAAAGATAAACAGGGACAAAGTGAAGGGAAGAGAGGGGGACCAGAGCTGCCTCACCACAGTAACATTCAGTAAACACAGCAACAGCAAGTGTGTTTAAATATCTGTGACATGATTCAGCTTTTAAAACTGCATCCTGTCCTTTGTGTTGTCAGCTTCCACAGCATGTCCTAACACACTGGCATGGCATCTAGCAAGCTTCTTGTTTTTTGCTGTAAAGTCATGCCTTTTTCCTAGACCCAGCTCTTGCACACAAACACACTCCACTGTCATCACTGAAAAGCAAATGTGATATATTTTATACATAAACATCACTGAATCTGTGAAAGGAGCCCTCCCCATCAATTTTACACATGAAAGTCAGTTTATGCATCACGCTCACTCAGCCTGTGAAAACAGTGCAATGTGTTCAGTGGGTCTGGAGGAGCTTTCCAAAGTCTTCAAATTTATAAGAGAAAGCAGGCATGACAAACTGGAGCTGTGGAAAGATGTGGGCAATTACCAGGCAATGACAAATGGCACAATCAAGTTGCATTATGGGAAATGTAGTAGTATTTTTTGACCCATAGTAGAGACTAATTCTGCACTCATGTTTCTGACTTGAAAATATCCTTCTCGATTTGAGTTGTCCATGCCATAAACGCTCATCTGTCAGTCTCTTGGCCAGTCAACTAACTTTGGTCCAGACTGAAATCTAACTATTGTATTGTGTATTAATGGTCCTCAGAGAAAAAATCCTACTGACTTTGGTGATCCCTTGACTTTTCTTTTAGCACCAAGGTTGACACCTATTTCCTGTCCCCTTAAGATTAATTGTAATGACTTTGGTGACCTTCTTACTTTCAAATAATCATCAGGTGAACTTTTTAGTTTGTCCAATACCTGTGAAACTAAGAGAACTTCAGCCTCAGCTGCAATTTGTGTTTAGTGATCATTAACAAATGTTAGCATGCAAAACTGACATGGCAAACATGGTAAACATAATACCTGCTAAACATCAGCATGTTAGTTTTGACATTGTGAGCTTGTTAGCATGTTGAGGTATTAAGCTCAAAGCACTGCTGTGGCCATGTACACCCCACACAGCTGCTGGTGTGGCTGTAGATGCTTGTCTTAATCTGTTTTGCATGTCCTCAACTTTAATAACAGGATTAACAAATTTGGGATAGTTTGAAAGAAAACCAAGCTATGACGAATCAGAGTACAAACAATCGTGAACTTCAGCTCACTGAAATGATGATTGAATGAATGAAAAGTGCAGGGTGTCCTTGTAATTAAGTGCAGAATGTCATGAGAATATTAGGTCTGAATAAGGTTTCAATCAAAACAAAGCACCACAAAAACAATCTATTGAACTCATGGCCAAATTGTAAACCATTGCTGGGTGGATAAATTACACCCTGGGTAAGGACAAATAGATAATGGATGTGTTTTTGTTTCTAACAACCATGCCTGTGTTTTGTTCTCCAGGCCTAAATGGGGTTTAGAAGTGACACATCTTCTAAAGTAGCTGATGTAAGCACAAACATGTAGAGACGCTGCTGGGAAAGACAGTGAGCTGAACTAGTTTAGCAGAGTGAAAGGACAAAAAAAAAAAAAAAAAAAGTGGTTACATGCAGCTCTGGAGAAAATCTTCAAACCACTTTATGACATTCTGCCCCACCCGCCCCCAACGCTCATTGTGTTAGCTGAGGGAACACTCAGCACCCCTGTCAGGTGGTGCTGTGGTGTGATAAAAGTCTGGGCCTCCTGGTCCCCTCTGCGCCCCCCTCTATACAGGCTCTACTGGCCTACACAGCCTTGATAACAAGCACACACATAACTGAACCCTCTCACCCCACAGGGTTTTTAACAGTATCATCACAGCAGAATCTGCATTTCAGTTTTTGTTGTGAATACAGTTACACTACAATGACACATACTGCAAACACAAATAACTCAAGAGCTGGCATTTTTTTAAACACTGAGTGACAAGATTATGATCCATTGTTTACTTTTTTGGGGCTTCATTTTAACAAAGAAGAAGTCAGACATCTTTGAGTACAAAGTCTTTATTTAAATTTTTTTGGTATGGCTTCTTTGAAGGGACTGTAAAAGACATTTTATTGAAAAAAAAAAAAAAAACCTAGATAATTTCTGATGCAACCAGTCAAGGACCTACAAACAAGCATCTACTGTGGTTGCCGTGCACCCGGCCAAATCCACTGACATGGTGACAAAAAAACCAAAATGAATACAACACCTGTGGATCTGCAGGTTAAATGACATCAGTGCCACAACTATAGTCATAGTAACAACCAAAAAAAAGCTATTTTAACTTAGTACCTGATATAAATACCTACATATAAATATTGTAAATGTACTTGACGACTGATAACATTTTAAAATGCTGTACATGAATGTCCTTTTGAGAGCAACAGTTTGTGACAATCTCATTAAGAAAAGTTTACGGAAAAAAAAAAAAAAAAAAAAAAACCACACACACACGCTCAGTGTCGGCTACCTTTCAACAATGATACACAGCGCTCCTGGTCCCCATCACCCACATACTGCATGTGATTATCTACATCCATTTGAAATCATCAAGACCTAAGCAAGCCAGATTAATGTGACCGACTGCTGAAAGGCCAGTTACAAAGGGCTCTCTGCACTTGGTTCTGTGGTGTGGGTGCTTGAAAAGTCAGGAGATTCAAAAAAAGGATTTTTTTTTTTTTTTTTTTTAATTAAGGCCTCTTAAATGAAACTGATAAAAAATAGTGTAGTCCTGACATCACAGCCTCAAACACAAACAATGGAGCTGTCTCACTGTCTTATATACTGAAACTTTCTGTTTGTCCTTGAGGTGAAATCTCTCGTCGTCCTCCTGTGTGGAGCTGAACGCTTGAGGTTTGTTCATGGGTCAGTGCTCTACCTCACTGCTGATGGCACCAGGATGGGAACACAGATAGGCGGACAGGCTGGCTCTATGCCTCGCAAAATCACCACCCTGTCTCACCCTGCACCCCACATTTCTGACTGTCCCCCAGTGTCCTAAAGCAGCAGTGCCCTTACCCTAAATCCACACCAGACACTCTGGAGTTGGGAGGAAAGAGGTGTTACATGTCCCAGGCAGCTCTCTAGTCATCAATATGTACCATGGACACACAACTTCCATTGATTGAGCTAACAACATGATAACAATGATAATAATGGCATACAAACAAACACTGACAATGACATTAATACAATAATAAAGGACAATAAAATAATAATTAATAATAATAATAAAAAATGAAGTGTCAGCTTCTGGAAGCTCTTGGAAGAGACCACATACTTTATGCTGTTTAGCTTCCCTGAACCTCAACAGTCCTCCAACCCTCCCACCCCCTTTTACCCTTTAACCAATGAGCAAACTGCTCATCCTGATCGTATAGTGCAATAGTCCCACTCTTTTTCCTGGAAGCCCCTGCTGACGGTAGGCAGGTTACCCTGTAGGGCATTTTTTGCCATCCTCCGTCCTATGGTCCGTGACCACTACTCACTCCTCTTCCACTGCTCCCTCTTGTCCGCTTCCTTCATCAGCTCACTGCATACGGTCCGGCTGGATGTGCTGCTGTGGGGCATAGTGCAGGAAGGCCGGGGCTGGGCCAGCGGCGGAGGGGAGGGTGGGGTGTACGGTGGCCGGAGCTGTGGCGGCGGCGGCCGGACCAGCAGTGGCTGGGGGGCTGGTGGTGTAACTGTAGCCCAAGAAGCCAGCTGGGGAGGCGGCATACGGGTACTGCTGCTCAAAGGCTGCCTGGGCGTACTGGGTGTAGGCCGCGCTGTAGTCCAGGTATGGGCTGGTGCTGACAGAGGAGGATACCTGAGTGGGCAGCACCAAGCTGGGCTGCACAAAGGCTTGTGGGTAGACGTACGGCTGCGCCATCCTGCAGACAGACAAAGACCAAAGAGGGGAGGGGTATTAGACAAGAGGGGCTGAAGCACCAGAGCAGAGAAATCTCAGGGCCTGGCTTTTTGTTTATATTGCTCCCAGAGTGTAAGTGTGTTGGGAATATAAACTCTCTGTAGGTGTTCTGAACTTAGAGAGCTCTCACACGGATATCCACTATTAGTGAAGCCTAAATAGACGAGAGGCAGAGGAGGTTAGGCGAAGCTGACTCAACCCTGTCGGTGTCAGTTAGTAAAACCTACAAAACCTGTTAGGTAGGGCTTCCTGAGGTAGATGCGGGTGGGGGGTGAATGACAGAGTCAGCCGTTACTGGCAGGTTTTCAAGCTCAGGCATCAGCGGAGTGTTTTAACAGCTGCTGCTGCTCTTCACTTGCACCACACACACACAAAAAAAGGAAGTGCATGAAGTCTACTCGTTCTCAATTGGTGTGTAAATCTCACACAGACCATCACAGGTGATGATGCTAGCTGTGGGGAGGCAACAGTGGCAGGGGAGCTCATCAGGACTAGGTGCCAGGTTCTGTGGAGCCTCATGGGCCGGCTCTCAGATGTACCTGATTAGACCTGTGGGGTTGAGGGACTGTGCCGTCTCTCCTTCTCTTTCAGTCTTTGCTTTGTGACTTTGTCCATGGAGGAAAGGGAAGGGGAGAGAGCTTCTTCGTGAGCTTTATTTTTAGTCAAGACTTTAAGCATCTCTCCTGGGCTTGTTATCTGCGGCGAGGGATAGTTGTCGCAGAGAGGAGAAGACCCCCCTCCACCATTTTAAAGGGTGATGTAACTCACTTTTTTGAGAGCCTTTACCCTTGATACTACCCTTTGGGGGTAAACATCTACAGACACACACCCTGAGACAAAGACATAATGGGCACAACAAATAGAACTTTGACGTATGCTGTTCAGCTATATCTCAGTACTGATGAAGTTCTTCCGTTGATAGACTGTATCCAAACTGCAGTCTTCGCTTTCTCCCCCCTCCCCAACTGCCAATTCAATCCAGGAGAGGAAGAGGATCAGTAATGAGAGGCAGCCATGAAGTAAACACAGCAAAAGCAGAAGCATGCATGGCTAGGGATGTCATCACACTCTCTCCACACACACACACACACACACACACACAGCCCTTCGACCTGCCTGGCCCTTCCCCCTCTCCCAGCCACCCACCCACACCCCCCAGTTACCACTGCAAACCCCAAACCATGCCATAATAGGGAAAGAGTCACACTGCAATCAGCATAACCTCTTCAGTTCATATCACACAAAAGGAAAAAAGATAAAAAAGCACTCCAATCCATCACAGCACACTGCACTGCACTCTCAAGCCATCACTGGCACCTTGGAGAGAGGCTGGCTGAGGGAGGGAGGAGGGGGTGGGCAGACATTTTCTGTCAGACCCCTCCTGGGGACTAGTCCTGTACTGTGGGCATCTTCTGATCCTCTGCTGGTACACTGGTCAGCTGGCAGCAGACAGCAACCATGGCAGAAGGTTGGATAGGAGGATGGCAGTGATTATTGTCAGCAACAACATTAAGGTCCCATTCTATCATTCAGTCAATACAGGAATGTGATCAAGAAGCATTGGGGGTACAGAAATGTGTAAGACCTATGATATGACAGCACAAAGACAACATACAAAAATATACAGAGCAGGGCTGGGGACAGCAAGGAGTTACAGAAGCTCACTGAGACTTCTAGCGAGGGAAGGGACCAAAAGGGGACAGATGTAAAACCAGATAACAGGGCATGTAACCTGTAAGCATAAGCTAATTAAGGTAATCCCCACCCATGAGTGCAATCTACACTTTGCCCTCACAGTGCCATTCAAAAGATGGCCATCCATTAATGCGGTGGGGCATATGTGCTTTCATATATAATGAGCCGGCCTTCTTCGTCGCTTGGCAGTTTGGCTTAACCTAGACTTAGAATCAAGAGACGCTGTGAGGTAAAGTGAAATAGAAAATAATGTAAACAACCTAAAGCTAGCCTAAAAGGGAGTTAAGGAGAGACAGAGCGCAGAGAGAAGGAGATGTTAGCTGTAATTTTAGCTTCTAAATTTAGCTTCTACTGAAAGAGAAAAAGAGGAGGGACGGGGACCGAGGCAAGATGGGGACAGTGGCAAGCTCCCGGGGGCCGCAGAGACGCCAGATGCCAAGCGGATGGCGGAACAGCGGCAGGGGAATGTGGATGTCGGCCAGAAGATCATAGGTCAGCTGGTTTTGTGCTGACGGCCAGTCTGTGCGTGTTTGACATAGTGCCACTCTGCGGATGGCAGACGGAGACACTAGAGAGACAGGCTCACCAGAAAACATTTGATGCGCATGAATATTCAAAACACAGGCTGAAATAATCATCATCATCATGAAGGCCACTTAATGAGCTAATGTGAAAAGCGCGGGAGATATCACACCGGGCAGCTAAATATTTCTACACAATAACACCAATGACCTTCAGCACATGACTCACAGCAACACAAAGTGTGAAAACAGACGGGACCGGACTGGGTGGGGGAATTAAACACCACCTTACAATACTTGTAAGAGGACTTGATGTTCCGTCCTCCCTTCCCTCTTTGTTCAAGAGGACTGAATATTCTTTGAAAGCAGGAGGGGAAAAAGGTGTTTTGTTTGGCACCTGTAGAGGTGTGTTTCCTAGGAAGCGCACAGCCTCATTAAGTATTAGTCCCAGAATACATCCCTCAGATACCCTGCCTTCAATCTCCTCTTCAACCCCTCCCCCACCACCCTCTCCTCCCTCCCAGTCTCACAGAGGTGTCAGTTTTCAGTGTAGCTCTGACACGCTGGTAGTGGCAGCACTTTAATTGGAGAAATTAAAGTAAAAACCAGTGCTAAAGGGAATAAAAAAGGGGGACATGACGTAAGAAAGTGCAAGGAAGAGGTAAGAGTGGAGGAGGTGATGCATGAGAAGAGATGAATCTGCAAGCATGCCGACAACTCCTCCCCTCCCCATCAAAACAATGTTCCTGGCCTCAGTGACCCCCTCTGGCCCTTACAGTCCACAGCATCTGCTGATCACAGCTATACACACAGACACAGCAGTAAATCCAAGCCAGCGCACCACCACTACATGCAATGGCCCAGCACTGTTCAAAATCCTACTTCAGACAAGGTCCTCACACCATATGTTATCAAGGAGTTGATAGAAAGAAAAGCCACTTGTATGCTGTGCACCTTAGGGAGGCCTGCGTCTGTCACCCTCAATACAGAGGAAACTCAGAGGCAGACAGACAGGTGCTCCGTGTGCCTCTCCACGTCTCTGGGGTGGTGGTCATGGGAGATTAAGGGGGTGTAAAAGGCTGTAATACAAGCCAGCACCTGTCAGGCACATGCCTCAAAGCGCCATTGTGCTCCACATTGGTGCCATCCATGCTCACTGTGGTAGCTGGAGCACAGACATCGGAGGGACTTTCCAGTGTCCTCCTAAGATCTTGGAACATTATGGGATGTGTCCCAAGTGGACCTTGAGATTAATCTTTCAGATTAGATTTCAATCTTTCAAGTGAGATCTTACAGTGGGGGCTATGGCTGATGTACACTCCTTGTGCCTTTTTTGTGTTTGCCAAGCTCCAAAGGCACCGAACGTTTCTTATTTGGACCTTGTCCCTGTGGACTGTCCTAGGATTCCCATGAAGCTCTTAAAGCACTCACATGCTCTGAAGTCAGTGACTGTATAGGGCTGCAGATACAGATTATTCCATTATCAAGATATATATTAATCTGCCAACTATGTTTTTGATTAATTATTTGGTTCATGAAATGTCAGGTAGATAGTTTATAGTGCTCATTAAAGTTTCCCAGAATACAAGCTGACATTTTAAAATAGCTTGTTTGGACTGACTTGGGTTTAGTTAACAAAACCCAAAGATAGGTAACCCAGGAACTTGAAACTAGTTACATGTTTTTTTGTCTTTTTATGTTTGTGTTTATGCTTGATAAAGTACTTTAAGAACCAAGCACCGGAATTGTTGGTTTTCTGTTGATCAACTAATCAGACAAACAATCAACCGTTGGGCACTGGTCATATTTATAAATATCTATAAACACTACGTATGACAACCTGAAGTGAACCTTTCATGGTATATTCATCTTCCAGAGAGAGCTGAGGTTTTGTGTGTAAAATACAAAGGGTGGTGAGGGATGAATTCTGAGAGCTGTAGGGGGTGAGGGGAGTTATTACTGAAATGAAATGCTCATTAGCTGCTTAGCAGACCATGGCTCCTAGACGCTGTGCAGGCTGTTTCTACAACACAGTCACTTCTAGGAAGCCCTCTCAGTGACACAGGCCACTCAGTCAGGTACACGAGTCAAGAGGCTCCTGACAGAAGTCAACAAGCGAGTCACACATTCACCTCTGGAATGCGCTTCTATTACCACAGACATGTGAACCATCTCCCAGCGCTATAAAACTCAAATATGATAACAGGCTACTTCGTGAGTTGCATGTGGACACAGAAACTGACATGTATTTTCTAGAGGCCCCGTTTGTCAAAGAAATAGTAGCCCACAGTGAGCAATACAAGAGAATACAACAAGCGCCCACTCCCACTCACTTACCCATACTGCCTCTGGATGAGTGCTGGGTGAATGGGCTGCACTCCGATGGATATGCCTGGAAGATAGGAGGCCGGCTGTCAGACACACACATTTGCATTTACAGAGGAGGACCAGAGAACAATACACAGAGGGCACGGAGAGACAGAGGCTCTGCCTGTTTCAAAACCTACCGCCAATGGAACAACAGATTCAAATGCGCAAAAAGCAGTAAAACATGTATGTATTTGGGAAACTAAATGTTATGGTGGTGTGCACATGTACAGTATGGGTTGTCTTATCAAAAACTGCCTGTCACACACACTAAATGGTAGAAATTAGTCTCTTTTTGTAACTCAGGGAATAGGTACCTTTTTTAACTATGGTTTTTGTTGTGGATATTCAAACTTATATTCATGTTTTATGCTCTAATTAATACTGGTCAAGTAGGATGGAAGTGCCATTATTTCTAGGATTGCATACATGATTTAATTGAGCCTTGAAACAACACACAGTATATCTCACCGGTCTGTATGCTGCGGGGTTTGGCACCCAGGTAGGCCAGGTTGACATTGGCTTTCCTGCCATCAATTATAGGGTTGGGATCCTTGCAGGCTCTCTCTGCTGCTCCTCTGTCAGTCATTGTCACCTGGTGACAGAGTCAGACTCGTCAACAAGGTCTCACAAGATAAAAACAAACAGACGGTAGCATGGCATCCTTGGCCAGAGACGCTAAACTTTTTAAGCAAAACAAAAACACTTGAAATGCATAATACAGGACTTTGTCTGCTGGTCTGATAAATTCTCGCTACAGGCTTCCCACTGTTAAGAATCTGTTTCTGAAAAAGGGAAACTACAAACAAAGCACAATGATAAGCTTTGAAAACTGCCCACAGCAGCAGTAGCCAGCTACTTGACTGCCACTCAGCCATGGGCAGACCTGCTGAAATATGGATCTGGGAAGAGCAACAAGGAGCTTATCCAATTAGGGACAAAATATTAAGGAGATTGGTATTAGTCCACCCCCTCCCCTCTCCCTCCTGGCATTACACAAGCCCTTCTGTTTTGATTGCCACATTCTGCCAACTCAGAGGGTTCAGTCACCTCGGTGTGTGGACCGGGCAGTGAATGTAGGCCACGGCTTGCATTGCTTAAGTGGCCGTTTTTAAAAACAGTGTGCCTCTTCATAGTGGAAGGATGCGGAACAAAGCCCACTCCAGGGCCTGTGTTGTGAACACACAGGAAGGAACGAGGCTGTGTTTACACTCAAGAAACAGAGGGGGTGGGATCGGGGGGGGGGGGGGGGTCTACTAATCCACCTCTGAAGTGTGTTTAGAAAAAAGGTGTGCTCAGCTTTGGGGCACCTCCATCCCCGCCTGCTGCCAGCTACCTCTCCGACTGGAACGCTCAGAAAACAGGATTAGCAGATTGCCTCATGCCACACAAAATGTGTGTCTTGTCCTGGGCAGCACCCACACCGGCCTGAGCCTGTTTAACCTGAAACACCAGCTCCAACAAGCAGCCGTTTGATACAAACTAGACTCACGGGACAGCTTTCCTCAGAGTTAGGGAGCCGATGTGTAAACACCGGGAGTGATTGTCTTACAATTCTGCCTTTAGAAGTAAACATGTAACAGTTTTCCATTCCTTCTTTGGCCTGACGGTGCATTAGTGCTGATGTGTCAAAATGTTCTGGTAAATATTTGCATATCTTGTGCTGCTTCTGTTCTTTGTGTGAAAGAGAATGACTCTTTATCTGCCTGGAACAGGTTAAGTCATACCTTAATGTAGATTTAAAATTAGACATCACAAGGTCCTTGGATTGAGTTTCATTAATCTGACTTAAAAGCACCAGTAAACAGCACATTTCCCACTTTGCACCACGAGTGGAGGTGAGATGAAGGCAGTATATGAGGTACAACTTAGTTTACGTTTTATGAACTTTTCAATGGCTTGGCTGGTGCACAGACTCAAATAGATAAGATCAAAAGGGAAGTTTAACATAAATTTGTAGCATATGAGAAAGCCAATTTGTTGATGTTGGAATTTCTCTCTCAGCAGCCAAGATGTGATGTAAATCATGTGCTGCGGCCGACTGCTCCGGTCCTTGACAATGGAGGGCAGGGTGTGCAAGGTCAACCTCCCCACTGCTCCAAAATAACCATATAAAGGAAGCAAAAAGTACAGTCTCTCTCTCTCTCTCTCACACACACACACACACTTTCAAAGCCATATGCTGGGGCTGATCAGGGGTGAGTGGGGCCTCACTGGGGGAGGGCGGTGAACATCAGACATATGTTTTAAATATAATCTTCTTAGTTACCCATCAAATTGTGTGATCCCTCATCCTCATCAGGCTACAATAACAGCCAGCCAGGCGAGAAAAACAGCGATGCTGTGCAAGTACGTGTGGAAGCTTCAGTGTGTGTGTGTGTGTGTGTGTGTGTGTGTGTGTGTGTGTGTGTGTGTGTGTGTGTTGCCTCTGACATGTAGCTGAATGATCACATTACAGTAGATATAACTAGAATGGATATGTAGTCATAAATTCCCATATAAAGACAGTGGGAGAGGCACTAGCATATAAATGGGCACGTTGAGCCAGGAACTATACGCTGCACAGCGGACTTACAGCAGTAGCTTGTAATGTGATCTGGTAGTGTTAAAAGTTGTGAATGAGAGCTACGTGTTGGTCTCGTGGTGGATATTGTGGTGCACGGCTGTCTTGTTTGTACTCACAAAGCCATATCCTCTGGATTTACCGGTCTGTCTGTCCGTTATCACCACAGCCTCGTCAATGTCCCCATAGGCCTCGAAGTATTTTCTCAGTGAGGCATCGTTTGTGTGGTACGGCAGCCCGCCGACAAAGATCTTGGTAAAAGTAGTGTCTTTCTGAAGCGATGGGGGATGCATGACTTCCAGGGCTCCGTTCATGAACTGATGCAGAAGCATTGGTCAGCCGGAGAGAAGTCCTGAAGCACACTGTAAATGTACTAACCGCTTAACAACGTCCCAGCATCAGTACAAAAAAAAACGTTTATCTCACTAGTTTTCCTCTCGTGTTGTCCTTCGCTCAAAATTACGGTAATCTGCTGGAAACTGTGCTTCACACTGCGGGGACTCCTCCGGCCGCGTCTACACTGGCTACACAGCTCACCGCTGTGAGAAAATGTGCCTGGAGATTTTATACGCCGTGTCTGAGGCCGCGCCCACATTAAACTGTTGACCAATCAGCGTCACCGCTGTGTGCCAATTTGGCCAGAGGCTCCTCCCATCATCGGCCCGCCTTCCCTCGGCGCTGCGCTGCACCTGCTTTTGTCCTTTAGCACACAAAGAAAACCCCTACTGTTACAGCAGAAAACGCGGCTCTGCCACATGGTGCATTGTACCACTGTAATGAGGAAGTATTGTCTCTGCTTCTGGTATAAATAACCGTTCCAAACGTTAATAAGCAGGAGTATGTTTAGTTAAGTATGCTTATTTTACCGTGACTTACTTTTACTTACTTTATTTATTGGGAGGGACATGGCAGATATAGTCTGAGCAGAAAGCAAACATACAGGAATTAATAAGTGTTAAGTTTAACCCTAAAGTGCAGCTGAAACCAATGGACAGTGGGAATCACACAACTTGAACCAAATAAAATAAACCTTACTTTATATGTTCATCCCTGGTTTGTTTCACTTTAATCACTTCATATTAACTAACAAAATCGCAGACTGTTACTTGTGATTATATGCTGTTTGTCTATTTTAAATCTTACTAATATGGCCTCAAATATTATTTGTATAGAATGTATCAGAGACTGGAATAGTGTTACTGTACAACATACCATGGGATGATTGATTTAAACCATATATAAAGTTATTGTGATCATTTCTACCTTCTTTTTGGAATATCAAAAGTTACATAGCTGTGCCCGTTTGTGATATAGACTGATTAAAGTACAATATGACAAACTTCATGGTGTCACAACAGGCCACCTCTTATAAACCTACCATAAAAGCAAATGATTGACACACTTTGCAACAAAAAAAGCATGTACTTGAGCTCAAAGCTCTTACTTTTCAGTACCACAGTAATGTATTCTACATGTCTCTGCATGCGGCTCACAAACACTGATAACCTCTGTGCGGAAAAAGGCAGCGCCTAAGGTCCTATGCAACAGGTCAATCCAACAGTAAAAGTTGTCCAACTGCTTCATTGCCAAAATAAATACAACCCCCTGGTTCTTATAGACAGCGGCCAGTGAGTCATCTCATCCGTGATCATGACTGCCATCAACCTGGAGGACTTTGTGCAGTTAAACTTGGTGCAGCTTGACTGAGCAGTACAGGAGAGAATTGTCTACAGGGTTGATACCAGTGTCACCCCATAAAAGCTGAGGACCCGCTGAACTGGCAGCAGCACATCTTCCCGCCCTCAGTGACTTGGAGTTCCACTGCTAAGTACCCAGGGTCAGGCTAACAGTGAGGTGATACTCTAATGACCTCAATAAACAGGCATTTAATTCACACCTTCTCCTCTATGAACTGCTTCACTTTTCACACCTGGCCTTTGTAGCTGCCCATGCTACCTCATTCATATCCTCTTGATAAATCCCCTCTATTCCCAGCTGTGTATCCCTGTCAAAAGGACTTAACCTGGAAGAAGAACCCCACTGTCCAGCTTTGATCTCATTTTTCCTATTTAGCTCTCCGACCTTAGTTTGTGGACTTTTCTACAGGTGACTGCTAGACTTTTCTACAGGTGACTGCTAAAGCTAACACATCAAAGGGCAAAATGCTCCACCTGCTGGTCAAACCTTGATTAAAACAAGCAGGCCGAAGGGGTCAATGTGATACAGATGCTGTCCAAAGTTTATCATTTTGTGATGCCAATGTCAGAGACCAACATGATGAAGAGGATTTACAGCTGAAATATGAGCGAATGGTCATATTCATGGTTTCGCATGCACAATACAGTTCATTTATACAGCAAAACACAATAGGTTGTTTTTTTTTTAAACCTATTTTCTCCCTCAGGTTGGAATAAACATGTTCAAATCTAATAGTACGCACATATTTATTTTACATCTCAGTTTCATTAATGGAGCTAAACCACGGAATAACAGCGAATCACAATATTATGAAAAGTCTTTGGAAAGCTATAAAAAAAAAAAAAAAATGAAGAGCTGGACACAGTAAAAAAACAAAACAAAACTGAAACACCAAGATGAATGCCAAATGAAGCCCTCCCCTCCTACAATAACCTCTAAGACCAAATGTCACGCAGCGGTCTTCAGCGCCAGGTTGGGTAGGCCCCTCTGATTGGTCCATGCACAGTACGCAACACCACGGCATTGGTCCAGGTGCTTGCCGAAAGGAAGGAGTCTGTCTCGGGCGTATACACACACTAAAGCAGCAGATCTTCCCCATTTCCCCACAAGAGATGTGACTCGGCACGACGAATCTAAAGACAGGAGGGAGCAGTCAGTCACAAAGCAGTTGTCTGAGTTTTGGTTTTGTTTATTTCTGAGAGGGCGATCACTGTGTCCCTTTTTGCACACAACAAACAGCACAAGATCACTCTTCAGCAAAATAAATAAACAAATATCAATCCTTGCAGATGGTGGCTGATTCACTGTAAATAACTGCTTGCCTATGTTCAATAATTCCTGAATCTTTTCATCATCTCCATGATCTAACAAATAAGAGTATATTTAAATATATAAATATTTGTCACTGAATACAATGCAAAGCCTTAATACACGCCATAAATGCTGTAAAAAAGCCAATATTCCTGATTGTACAGGCGCCAAGGTAGCCTGTATACACTATTTAAGCAGAAACTACACAAGCCTTCAGAATGACATCACCCAGGTCAGTACAGTACCATACAAAATGGCTACTTGTAGCAGCAGGGAGATCTGAATCATGTCTATCGTCTGCCCAGATCCATGCACGTCAGGTCTCATGGGGTGCCTTTAAAAGGCCCCAGAGTGAGTCACAAGGTCACTGAGAAAGTGGGGCAGCCCCGTCCGGTGACCGCAGCCTCCATGTTTACAGACAGTGGCTGTCCTTCTCTCACCATTTCTTGTTCCGAGGCTTCAGCTCCTCTGCAGCATTCCTCAGGAAGATGTAATTCTTTTTCTGGGGGTTGTAGTACTCATGGCCCTGAGGAATTCAGATAAGAGCACAATATTACAAATAAGGCCAGCATGAGGCGAACAGTTTTCAACCATTGTAGTGAAATACAAAACACCTGCTCGCAACTTTCAGAAAGATTTTACCCCTACCTTCGACCAGTCGTAACTGGAAGCGTATGCAAAGATGTTGCCATTTTGGTTGAAGCAGCAAGCCGTAATGGGCTGGTCGAGCTGCTCCGAGGTCTTTAACTTGGTGCGAGCGTCTTTGTCCCAGAAGCTGAAGCGCCCGTCTGAGCCCACAGTAGCCAGTGTGCCATGGACAGGATGGAAGGAGATGGCATTCACCTAATGGGAGAAAATGGACATTAGTAATTAAGAAATGGGGGAACATAACTACGCTGAGTGGTGTATCAGAGGGACTATTCTGTAATAATTGAGTCCGTGACAATACACATGGGCGGTCCAGCAAGACGGTGTCAACCAAGTTGCTCTGACAATTGCGGGTGTGACAAATGCAACAGAAATAAAAAAGAGGGACTCGTGCCATTATTCACAGCAATTAAATAAGAATGGGTGTATTTAAAATGACATTAATGCTAAGCCATGTTCACATTAATTGATTTCAAATACTGAACACTGCACTAAAGGAAACGCTATTAACAGACGTGTTTTACCGCAGATATGACATTATAGAAAAAGCACAGGTGTAATTAATTACATTCATTTTAGCTGTAGTTTAGGCAGTTCAAAGGCATCCATCGTTAACTTTATTAGTTACACCTGAGTTTTTATTGTAACACTTTGAACCAAAACTCTTGACAATAAAGTCCACAAACTGGTATAATTTGTGCATGTGCCAATAAAAATATGCCATTAAAATCTCCTTTAAGAGCACAAAGGATATGTTTCTTTCAAAATGTCACTTTATTTTATAAATTCAGAACAACTTACAGCATAGATGTCCTGTGGAGTGGTTGTGTTGGTTCCATTGGACCTGTGGCACTTAAAGGTGAAGTTGTCTTTGGCTCTGAAAGAGATCAGGGAACACATTCAAGTCATATTTTACTTACAGGCCTTGGACAGTAAGACCAGCAATGTCTTTTCCATTATGAAAAAACAAAAAACAAAAAAATCAAACCTGCTTCAACTTCACTGGATAAAAGAAAAAGCAAGACTTACTCACATTCACTTTTAAGACGTTGATTTATCTAGACACTCACGGGTTTGGAGGGTTGATATAGTGGATGGCCACTCGGCCCTCAATACTTCCCAGTGCAAAGCCTGTGGGCTTGTTTTGTTTGTCCTTGAATATGGCGACACAGCGGTGCTGTGGGACCAGGGGAATAAAGTTAATTGGATCAAAAGGTCATACATGAAAAATAAAATATTTTACAAAGTTTGTTTTTATATTTAGCACCAAGAAATAAATACATTATCATACATAAAACTCCCAGGGTGTTTGCAGAGAAATATTTATAGTGGGGGGAAAAAAACAAAGAAAATACTAGAAAAATCCACCTGATGTTTGAGAGGAGAGTCTATTCTGCGAAACTCAGAGGGCTGGTTCTCCAGCTGGTACACTATCAGTCCTCTCTCAGCTGTGGCAACCACCGCCATGGGGTATACCTACATACAACAGTCATGGAGGTAATCCATTATGTACTCAGCAAGTACGGCTGGACGATAGAGCTCATAAATAATAGATATTTTTAAGCTGTGCCACAATATACAATATATCCCGATTTATGTCTAAATAACATAGGGTACGTTCTGAAATAGTGCTAACATGATGATAATGTAAAATATTATCATTTGCTTTACATTAAACAGCATATAAAAATAGTTCAAATTAGCTCAACCTTAAACATCTCAGCAGTTAAGTGCAACACACATACTAATCAAGCAGTAATATTAATCCAAAAACATCATGTATAATAGGAAAACACAGACAGGAACCATTTTACTGCAAAATGACCATGTTTTGCTATAAATAATTGCAGACTTTCACCTTGGTAAGGTTTAGAATGCAGAACTTTTACTTGTAGTAGAGTATTTCCAAAGTGGGGATGTTATTAGTACTTTTGCTTAAGTAATGGACCTGAATACTTTTTCCACCTCTGGTTACCCACAGCATAACTGCACCTGTGTCACCTGCCTACCTTGTGGGTTGCAGTATAATAGTTACTGAAAAGCTGTGTGTTGTTTTCTCACCGTCTGGACCAACTCTGCTGTGAAGAGTAAATGACGTCTTCGCAACATTGCATAAAACACACAGCTTTCACTAACTATTACACTGCAACCTGAGCAAAAAATTCCATGAGCTTAAAATTCATGTCATACTCCTCATAAACCACTTACAACATCTGCACAGTAGCATCTCTCTGGCATCTGCAGAGACATCATGGGATTGGGAGAGCGGGTATCCCAGAACTGAAGAGAAAAACAGAAAAGCTTTCACGTGCTACATTAAACACTACAAAGCTTGATATGACACTCTTTGATTGGCTCTTTTATTGATCATTATGGTTACATTTAGGTGTCTGCACAAAAATATCAAGAAAAATTGCTCAAAAAGTGTCCGTCACCAATTGATAAGATACTGATGGTCCAGAGATGATTGAAATTTAGTTTACCAAAAGCTGTTTTGGATGCATAATGTCCCACACAGGCCTTTGGCCGAGTTCAGACAGACAAAAGCACTGGGTGGAAAAAATGTAGCACTCTGACTGATTTGAATGGGACCACTGCGTTGACACAACGGCATGCCAACATAGACAGCTTCGGCAAAGTTGAACCTGGCACAATGCAATGTCATCCGGTATGATGCTGCATTGGTGAAAATGTGTGTGTGAGTGCACATTTACATCCTGGCAGATTACGTAACATTATTAGAAACTGCTATGCAGTGGTTTGGTATCTGATAAGGATTCTCATTCAAACTGGACTTTCTGGATTATATTTCATTGTCTTGTTTTTTTTCAGATCTTGTGACCCTAAAGTGAATGTATGTTTTTTTTAAACAGATGCGTTCAAATGGCTGTTGTACCTTCAGTGTTTTGTCCCAACTGCCAGTCATGATGCAGCTGTAGTTTGGGGCTTTTATCCAGTGGATTGATTTGATCGGACCCTCATGCTGTGAAGAGAAAAGGTAAGAGTCAGATGATTCTGCTTCCTCCTTAAAACCACACAACTGATCTGGGAGCACTCAGCCAACCTGTGCAATCTGCATTGCTTGATTGCTGTTAAGATCCCACATCTTGGCTGTTTTATCACATGAAGCAGTGAAGACCTTACTCCCATCCTGGTTAAAGAGAACAGCTCATCGTAAGTTATTCTGTGGCCCAGCAGGCAGCATCTATGTAATCTTAAACTACTTTGTATGAGACCTACATCGCTCCAGCACGCATCCAGCACTGGACCTGCGTGCGTCTGTTGGGCTTTGGGGACAGTCTGTCCATTGTCCTGCACCTCCCAGCACCGGACCTGAGGTTAGATGATACAACATACTGTGTTTACTACAAACTCATGATCGAGTGGAGAAGTCCTTCATGGAAGACAGGCCCGGTGAAGGCATCCTCCTGGACCTCAGGTGTATTCAAATCTCATATTAAAATAACCATTCATAGTCATGAATAGAATAACTAACTGACATCATTGGCCCAGGATCCTCCAATGAGGAAGTTCCCTGGCATGGTGGGAGGACTGAAAGCCAGACAGCTGATGCTGTCATCTGGAGGTGAAGTCACTTCAACATCCTGTAGGAACATAAACAACAAAGAAAATTATTAAGCTGTCAATTAATCAGGCAAAATTGCAGTTTCCACTGATAATGATATATAAAAAACATGCATTTTCTCCAGTACTCCGCTGGTTTACCTTCATGGGATTGTGGCTGTCTGTTGTTGTGTTTCCAAAGACACCGGTCCCTCCTGTCCCAAACCCGGTGTTTGTCCCAAATAAACTCATTGTGCATTAACGTTGTCCTAATGTGCGCCTAAGAGAGCAGACGTGCATCAAAATGATCAAAAGCCATGTTGTTAGCAAACTGGATGTAGCGTTGAATCCAAAAGGCCGTTCAATCAAGAAAATACAATATGTGGAACTTTAATGTTATAGCATTACACTAAATCACCTTTGCAACCAGACGTTCATCAAATCACTCAATTAGCAAGTTCAACACTAATGATATAGATTAGATAAAAGCTAACATGCGTAACAGTTCGCGTAAACCAAAACACTTGAAGACGTAAGTTAGCTGGACAGCTAGCAGTGAATGTTAACGCTAACTAACGTTAGCATCAATTAACGCTACCGCTGCAAGCTCCTAAATACAAGCTAGCGTGGTAACATTTAACAGTCTAAGTGTATGATATTCATACGTATGGGCGTATTTGCTACTATTTTAACCATTACGTGGGTCAGAAAATATATACGGGTAGATAATTCAACGCTAGCTAACGTTAGCTAGATCAGTTATTGAGACCATCTGTGGCCGGTTGGCTAGATTAAAAACTTTCATGTGCTGACTTTTCAAACACCATATTTAAACACTGTATCACCAGCAGCACCCTCTGTTAACTACATGAATAAAAGTACATACCCCGACTATAAACTGGCAACGCTGAAAATGCCAAAATAACTTGGCGCAGCAAAATGTGGCGCTTTCCCTCGCTGTGTCGCAGTTTAGTGACGTATCGGGCCCTGTGCTATTTCAAGAGTAGACGCTTGGAGGCGCTGCATGACAGCAAGTCACTTTACCATGGAAAGTAACCCGGGACTTTGGAATGAGTGTGTCTGACTGATGAATTTAGTTTATGTATCTCGTCTATAGCTAGATTATCCCAGCAAGTGTAGCTACCAAAGGTATCAACCAAAATGGTCCCATAACGGATGATGATGTGGCTGAATAGAGTCAGTTAGAGGGCCTGTTGGCATTGCTGAAAATTCCTTGGCCAAAACTCATTTTACAGCCTTAAATTGTTGTCATTATAGCAGTAGGGTGGTTTACAAATGTTTGTAGTGGATATAGGGAGGACTCTTGTTGTTTATATGTGTATGCAGGGATGAGCCATGTAAAGTGACCTCTTCTGGGAAAAAACATCTCAAGTGAGTTGTGCATGGTGCTCATGGAACTTTGGTTTTGTGGTTTTAGTTCATTTATGGATGTTTCTGGTAGCCCCTATACACAACATGCACATTAGTAAAAGGCCATTTCAGTCTGTGGCTATGACACATTTACTTTCTTCCTAAAGACAGTAAATGCCAACGCAACTGCACAAGTTCTTTAAACTTGTGTAAAGTGGTGTATAGTCTGTACTTAACTCTTGGATTCTTGCTTTTTCAGTCATTGCCAACCCCCACCCCCATTAACTCTTATGAAAGTATTCACAGCGGAGTGCTTTAAACTTTGTTGTAGTAAATCACCGGGGCTATTGGCATGTCCCTTCATGTGCCTGTGCTGCTGCTGCTGCTGCTGATCACTCAAACCCTCAACAATTAGGGTGGGCCTGAGTTTATTGTTTGAGTTCAAAGGTGTCTGCATTGAAGAAGGGATTTGAGGATTTTCCCTCTTTACCTTTAGACTGATCATTTGACAGTGTTGGAGGATATCTTCGTGTGTACAGGGTTTGAAGCTCAGTGATAATAGATCCAAACTGTCCAGATATGCTCTAAGCTAAATAGATAGGATTTGAAAAGAAGTACATGTGACCTTTGATGTTGTAAGTGATGAATCATGGGATGGTCACACCAGATAGGTCTGGCTGCAGGTTACTGCTTGCAAAAAGAAAAAGGAGAGACCAACTGGGAAAAGTTGTGATAATCAGATATGAACAATTACAGTTCACTTTCGTTAGTGGCCAAACAATCACGTCCAAACAAAGGACGCAGTGATGGGCCACTTTGGTTTGAAAGGTCCACGCCCAATTACCAAGATAGGAAAGTGCATTTCATGATATGACACTGGTCTATTCTCACCCTACTATTCATTGATTCACCCCCTCACGCTCTCCCAGTCTTTCCAGTCTTGGTTTATCCCACTCTGAACCCCTCCTTCCCCTCCCCTGACACAACCCCTCAATAAAATCCATTCCCAAGTAACTTCAAGAGGAGCGCACAGCTGCATCACACCAAGACAGTGCGCAGCTATAGATGATAAGGGATTGATTTTATAAATTGACAGAAGACACTATGTTTTAATCCCACAACGAGCAGAACTCTTTCTGTAGGAAACCCCAGTTTTATGTTTCGACTAGTTAGAGCCACGCGTAAAATTTGTGTAAAATGGTGACAGGCGCCTTGGCGACGCTAATGACCCTCCTGTCGTGGGGTTACTTCGTGATGACCACCCAGGTCCCCTTCTCCAACTTCTCTGTGGACAATGAGGTGCGCTCCAGCTTCATCCAGCGGCGGCTGCGGAGCCAAGAACGCAGGGAGATGCAGCGAGAGATCCTCTCCATCCTGGGGCTGCCGCATCGGCCGCGGCCGCACGTCCACACCAAACACAACGCCGCCCCGATGTTCATGCTGGACCTGTACAATACAATCTCTACAGACGCAGAGCCGCCGGGATATTCTTACTACAAGCCCGTTTTCCCGACCCAGGTTTCCCCCGTGTTGACCCCACAGGACAGCCGCTTCCTGGATGACGCAGACACTGTGATGAGCTTTGTCAATCTCGGTAAGTTTACAAGCTGACTTTGACTAACAACATTTTTTATTATGTGCCCGTGACAGAGATTCAAGTGCCCAAAATTTTGCTATCACCAGTATCCTCTAAATCAGTGTTTCCCAACCCCCTCCTGGAATACCCATGTTTTAGATCTCTCTCTGCTCCCACACAGCTGATTCAAATGATCAACTCGTTATGAACTGCTGAAGCTGCTTAAATCAAAAATCTGTGCGGGAGCAGGGACATGCAGGACAAGGGGTAGCCTACTCCAGGAGAAGGTTGGGGAAACACTGCTCTAAATAATACTACAGGGGCTTGGTTTACTGTCTAAACGCTTATTAAAATCAACAATTTAGGCTAATCAGAAACAGCTGCTTAATTGCCAAGTAGTGTTTTACACATGAGGAATTTGCTTTGGCGATAAGGTGCTACACCTAGACAAACATACAGCTGACATAAATGAATGTAGAAATATATAAATATAGAATAAACACATGCAAGTTATATAAAAATAATAAAATATCAGAGAAAATATTTCACCTGAGTAGGCTATTCTTTGCAAAGCGTCAATGACTACTTAAACTCATCATGTTATCTGATCTGTGATCTGTGCCACTGCAACAGAGGGCCATAGTTAAGTGTATGCAAAAGCCAGTGTCTCTGACATTGTGGCTAATAAATCACTTTCTTCACATGAAATCGAACATTATGCATAGCTATAAATGTTATGTCAACATGCATCCCTTCAAAGCTCTGGGGGTGAGGCTTTAGCATGGCTTTGTTTCACATGACTAGGAATTGAACAGGCATTTCTAAACCCTGAGGGAGTGAGAGATAAGTTGACCAAGCTCAAGATACAAACTGCATCTAAACACGCTCTTGCTGTAGTAATCTCTGTTAGTGCAGGTGTTTGTGTGTTTGCAGTGCATTCCTGCATGTATGTGTCCGTTTGTTTGGAGGGCGTAAATCACCGGGGTCGCAGGTGGGATTTGGGGCTCACTCAGACATTATTGAATTTATAAAAGGCAAATCCTGCCTTTGTTTCCCTTGGAGATCCTGCGGAGGCTCTGATATCACTATGGTGAAACAGCAGACGGCATGGTGCCTGTGGCTTTTATCCGGATGTGGTTACATCCAAAACCAACCCCTGTCTTCATTATGCCCCTCTACTGCCTCGCGGCTTCGAGCAGGGTTATGGGTCAATGTAAAGAGATGAAGTTTGCTCATCTGAGATACGCCTCAGAGAAACTTTTAACCTTCTCCTCTGTTTGTTTGTCATTTAGAGTTGTTTTTCGACCAGCTCATAAACATGCAGTTAATACAAAACATTTGGAGATTTCGCAAACATAACATTTAATGTCCTCAGTGGTGAACTTTTAACTGACAGTCTTAAGCTAATGAGATCTGGAAACATTGTTTCTGAAAACTCATAACAGATTTATGTGGTTCCACATCTGAAGAGTTTGATTATAAAGAGGAAGGAGGGAAAAAGGGTGCAATGAGTGTATTATTTTTCTCTCAAGCCCACCACGGCCTCCTGTGCTGATGAGTTTTTAGCTGGGGCTCCCTCATTATGCTGGAGTGACTCTATCTTGGTGGTCCTTGGATGATCGCTTCAAGACCAAACTGGATTATGGTATTTCCCGTCCAAAGACCACAGCTTCCATTGAGGGAGAGCTGCTGTAGACCTGCCCAGCCCCTTCTCCCAGTGCATCAATTTATATATCCTGCAGGTGGAAAGGGCTTAGAAGAGTTTTATATTATAACCCATCAACCTCATTTACTCAGTATCTTTAAGTGAAATTAATTATTTTAGAGGGAAAGGATTCAGAAACATTAAAGGGAAAATCAATCCCTCCTTTTCATTTGTTAAACAATATCTGAGAGCTTGTGTAGTAATATTGTAAAGTCAACACACATACACTAAATCACATCACTTCACACATGCTGATACATGGCTGCATATGTTTACATGTGTTCGAATGCCAAACCACAGGTCGTACTTCAGAATCACCGGCAGAAAGCATTCGACTCATTGTCATGCAACATTACACAAGGCGGCTGCTATTGTGCTGCACAGTTGTTGTTTATAAAGGAGATTGAATGTAGTGCAGAGGCCTGAATCAGTCTTATCGGCTGTTCCGCCGTTCTCCGCTCTGCTACTTGTCACGTCGACCGTCTTGTTTACTGCAGCTGAAATCTTTGCCTGGAGATGTGTACACGTGTGTTCAGTATGGGCTTTCTTGCCTCGACCACAACACACCTGCAGAGCATGGGAAAAAGGCTTAATGACCAGAAACGTCACTGGCTTTCATTAAAAACAGAGTGCAAAATACTCTCCTTCTGGAGGAATGACCATATCTCTGAACAGAAGGTGTATTGTGTTTTTGAGAACAAGCAGGAAGAAATGTGTTTGTCCTGCTAAGCTCTAGGAAGCATAAGGAGCACCAAGAATTTCTTTTGCCCCTCAAGAAAATCTCATTAACTTCCTCATTATTTATATATATATAGTGTGTGTGTGTGTGTGTGTGTGTGTGTGCAAAATAATTCCTTTCTTGTTGGTCTGAAGCTGGAATTGTCATTGCATGGTAGCATCTGACGAGAGGCATTTTAACTCCACTTCTGTCTTTCAAATCTTGAACAGAGTCACTTTGTCAGTCTGTTTCAGTAGATCTAAGACTCTCTGTCATTAATAAGCAGACGTGGTGCTGCATTCCTTTGCAGATTTATGTATAGGTGCAATATTTGTTTAGCAAAAGCCTTTTTGGTGGTTCTAATAATCAGCAAGAAAACAGTTTAAGCAATGCTGTCACACATGTCAACATGTGCAGAGATTCAAGGTTTTGAAGGGGCAGAAAATGTTCACTTGAGTAACAGATTTGGCTAACTATAATCAGTTGAAATGTCTGATATGGAATGATGTCAATAACGTCTGAAGCAGTGGTTTTTATTCACAAAGGTTGCATTTTTGGAGTTCTGTTTTTGTGCAGACATTGTGATACATCTTTAAACCACCCTTGCTGATTTATATATTTAAAAAACAAAACTAACATATACTATAAAATTGCAATAGGTTAATGATAGCTTTGTGGCTGTGTGGCCCTGCAGTGTCGGGAGTAATCTGAAGTGTTGAAATGCCTCCCAGAGGGAAGTTTGCATATCTGAGGTCTGATCTCTGCAGCTAATGGTCCCTAACGTAAACACACCAAGTCCTTACAAGCAATTATTGCTTTCATAAAAACACTGCTCGCTCCCTTCCAGCATTTAATTGCGGTCAAACAAATGACTAGCAGGGTTCAGAATGCACCGCTCTTGACGATGAGGTGTGTGTGTGTGTGTGTGTGTGTGTGTGTGTTTTGTGTCGTGTATTACAATGTTTTTAGAAGACTGTGCGTGTGTGCTCTTTCATGAAAAAACAGTTCTGTTTCTAGTTTTAGGGTGCTGTGAGTATGATCGTCTGTGCACTGAAACAATAGTGGACCATCAACAGGGTGATGTCACGATGATGTCATGGTGTATGCCAGTGGGCAGGATGTGTTTAAGGTGGCTAATCGCTGCGCCGCTCTGCACACCTTCACCAGAGACCTCCACTGCTCTTTCCAAGGACAAACACATTGACTAATGCTGTAAAAACACAACTCTGGAAAGCTTCAGGAAACTTCTTTCTGACCACCGTTCTTCTGGAAAGTCTGAGCTCAGGGCGTCATCAGCTACTGCTGATTTACTTTATCCTCTACAATCAGAATGACATCTGTGGACATGCATGTACATGGCAAAATGATCATGGAAGTGTGGGTGGGACAGACTCTGGTAGTTAAATCACACATGACTTTGTGTGTCTCTCTATACTTTCTGTGAGTGTGTTTATAAACGCACACTGGCTGCTGTGGTTTTCCGGGCAGTGCCTTAACAGGCCTTTTCTTGTGGTCAGCACATATGTGCAGTTTAAACAGGGAGCCAAACTGAGCCTGAGTGTGTGTTTTTTTTCTCCCCCACATTGGCACGTATGGCAGACTTGACTTAAGTGATGTTTTAGATCAATCACTTCACTCATGGAAGCAGGATTTTTCCCAGTTTCTGACAGAGGGCTTCCGAGATGTGGGCAGAGTGACACACATTAGAGAATCGTTTGATTCAGCAACAGTTTTGACAGATATGCAACCACCGACTGGTTTACATCTGATTGTACTCACAGTGGTTTCTTTTCCTCAGATGTACAAACTTTCCCTCTGGGGGACAGACGTATTATTTGTGTGTGTGTGTCAACTGATGCAGGCAACAATAAACTATTGGTCATAGTAGTATCATGATCTGGTGGATTATACACTTAAAAAGAGCATTTTGATCAAGCACATCAAAGCATCAATCAAATGTTGATTTACAACTTGTCGGTTGCTTTCTCTTATTTTCTCTTCCTGATAGTTGGTCAAGATCAGGCGCTTCTGTACCAGCAGCACGGAAGAGAATTTCGATTTGACCTTTCCCGTATTCCAGAGGGCGAGGCTGTCACAGCGGCAGAGTTCAGGATTTATAAAGATTTCATACTGGAACACTACGAGAACGAGACATTCAGAGTCAGCATGTACCAGGTCCTGCAGGAGCCTCCAAACAAGTATGGGTGTTTTTCTTTCCATCTCAAATTTTACAGATGCTTTACTGGTTTTACTGCGTCTGACCCTTGATTTGCTTTAGCCTGTGACATATGTATCCGCTTCATCCTATCAGTAGTGTTTAGCATTTAGGAATTTGTTCACTCAAATAAGAAAATTCTCAATTATTCTATAATATTTATTCGAAAACAAAATTATTCTATAATAATTCTCTCAAATGATTAAATTCTGCACAGCACTTCTTCCAGCTAAATGCTAGCATCACCACACTAACATACTCACGATGGCAATGCTAACATGTTTTAGCATGCTACATTTGCATCAGCACTCAAAACCAAAATATACAAAAATATTTTCGTGATGGTTGCACTAGAGGAAAAACTTATTACAATTCAACTAATTAATGCCAGCACTCTTAAAAGCATTTTTCTAAGTCTTCATTGTAACTTATTTTATCCTCTTACGTTAGAGACATAGCTTGAGTAATGTTGTTTTTGTCCTGAGAACAGACACATCATGCTACTGTGTGTTTTTTCTGTGATAGCTGGTTGTTAGGCTGCTGTAAGTGCACACAGATCGGTCTGTCTGCATTTCCCCATAGGTTATATCTGCCGATGTTGGTGTCAGCGTCGAAGCTGTTTACACAGACATTAGTGTCACTTACAGAAACGCAGCGGTTCTCTCCAGAGCAACTTTTCTCTCACACTGCCATATCCCAAGAGACATACATTTATAACACACAGCTCCAACCACAAATAACACTCTTGACCCTTAAGGCGTCAGTTTACTCTCTTTCTCTTACAACGTTGGCTACTCTGCCATATTTCTGTCTATCAGACTGTCTGCCACCTTCTGTGTTGCTCTCACCCTGTTTTCATGTTTCACACCACATCTGAAACTGGATAACAACATGACAAATCATCTGATTTAAAGACTCCACACGCCCCCTTCTTTCTCACAAATCAAAGTTCTATCACTCACATTTTGAAGTCTTGTCACCCCGCTACTTCTGCGCCAGAAGTGAGCTGACAGAATCATGTGCAGGCAGTAGATTTAAGTCCTTCACCGGTGACAGTGGGGCTGACGATGGTGTTAAGGGCAACACTATTGTCATTCAGACACACAAAGGCCACTCCACACAGACGAGCAGGCGGCAGGATTTAAGACAGACATCTGCCTGAGGGCCTGAAACTCAATCTGTTAAAGCTATTGTCTGTAAAATCGGCCCTGAAGACGGCACATATTAGTATAGGAGTTTTCTTCTGGGATGTTAAGAAAGTGCTCCTTTCATTATGGCTGTTCAGTTTGGGTGGATACATGGTGTATCAGGGTGTCACTTGACGACTCCACATATTGTTTAGAGGCTGAAATGACAAAAACTTCTTTAATCTTGCATTAAAATGATTTATTATGTTTATTGTGTTAATGTACTATTTGAAATGCATCCGTCCATCAACAGTGTGTGTTGCATAATGAATTTCTGCTGAATCAATTTACCATGGAAAATTTAGGTTTGTTTTTCTGATTTACACATTTATTTGTCTGGATTCAGTGCATTTACAGTGCAGCTCAAAATCTTTAGGACAGTGACACATTTTCTGTTGTGTTGCTGTTAAACAGTTGTCTCTCAGCTTTCACTTGAAAGTGAGAGAGAGAGAGAGAGAGAGAGACTCAGATGATCAAATATAGGAACTGTAGCCCTTTCATTTTTATTTTTTTTATTTTTATTTTTTAGTTGAACAGTTTTAGGTGAATCAAAGCAATTAGCCAAATAACAACAAATGTAATTAAAGTGATATTTTTTTTTTTTTATATTTGGTTCCTTTGCAGCCACATACATCAACACTACAGCCATATTAATTTGTTTAATTTAGTTCACCTTCAGTTTCATCAAATGAAACGCACTCTCAGTTGGATTGAGATCAGGTGTCTGACTTCAGCAACATTCCACAGTTTGGACATATACTCTCTCGTTTGCCTTTAATGTGTTACTTTTTTGCTGAATTGTCCTAAAACGATTCCTATACTGTTTCTCGAGTATGGACAGGGTAAACTCCTTCAAACACAAGGCTGAAAATGGGCACTTTAACCTCAAAGCCAATGTGTTTTTAGTCAAAACAACATAACACAAGTTGTCCTAATCTAACTGCACTGTAGCTATTACAGGACCACACATGTTGTTTTGCATTTTTTTTAGCCCATTAAATACAAAGTTTATTTGGGATGGTTAATGTCTGCAGCCAGCCAGGGATACCCCACTGAAAGCATATGTTCTGACACTCAATGCTTTTAGCCATAAAATGCCTTGAATTCAATGACTTGTTGTCCTCTTCTCAGTAAAGTGGAGCTTTTGCTGCTGGACCAGCGAGAAGTGTGGGCTGCAGAGGAGGGCTGGCTGGTCTTTGACCTGACTGACACTAGTAACCTCTGGCTGGCCAACCCTGAGCAGAACCTCGGCCTGTGCCTGGTCCTGGAGGACAGTCACGGTCAGTCATTGCTATACATTAACTAAGATGGAGAGGGATCCATAACGGCAACAGCAGCAAGATAACGGTCTTTGTCTGGATGATTTAATGCTCTTTAGGTCCTATGGTGAAATGGACCACAACATATTTAATAAATGTGTGTAGTGAGTTCTTACAGAGTTCAATTTATGATTGTGGTTGTTGTGGTCACATTAGGATGAACAAATGATTGTTCAGTAGAGACTTAGATGTGTTGTTGTCATCTTCAGTGGTTGAGACTTGCAATTCATTTTGTTTACCCTGTCTCCCTCTGCAGGCCAGAGGAGGAACCCCCAGCTGGCAGGGCTGGTGACTGGCAGTGGACCTCAGGATAAACAGCCCTTCATGGTTGCCTTCTTCAAAGCCAATGAGGTGCGCTTCCGCAGCGTCCGCTCTGCCCACGGGCACAAGGGGCGCCAGTCTAACCGCTCCAAACCTCAGAGGACTGTCCAAGATGCACTTAAGGCAGTGGAGGCTGCAACAGGTGCCTCAACCTTTCAGATCTCATTATAATAGACTCTAATCAACTTTGACCGACTTTTTGTGCTTTGGTACTTGTGTGTACTCATACTTGCATGTTGTCAATTTCAGATAATGGCATCTCTAAAGAGGGATGTAAAAAGCACGAGCTGTATGTCAGTTTCAGAGATTTGGGATGGCAGGTACAATCAGATCTTTTCATTTGATCTCATTTTAATACAATTCCACTTTTATTTTTTTTATTTCCAAAATGTAACATTTAGACATATGCCTGTGCTTTTACTCTGATCAGGACTGGATCATAGCACCAGAGGGCTACGCAGCGTACTACTGCGAGGGAGAATGTGCCTTCCCTCTCAACTCCTACATGAACGCCACCAATCATGCTATTGTGCAAACTCTGGTAAGTCCCAAACAGCCCCTGATGACAGGCACTTTCATTACAACCTCCACTTTCTGCGAGGAATAGTTTATGCTTCTTCTAACCACAGGTGCACTTTATCAACCCTGATACGGTGCCCAAGCCCTGCTGTGCCCCAACGCAGCTCCATGGCATCTCAGTGCTCTACTTTGACGACAGCTCCAACGTCATCCTCAAGAAGTACCGCAACATGGTGGTCAGAGCCTGTGGCTGTCACTAACCGCTCATGTCCCCTCCTGTGAGCTCGGCAAATCCGGAGGAGGGACGTTTTAAAGAAAGTTGGAAGTGAATGAACCAGGGACAAAGATGATTGACTGGTTGGTCACCAGGGAGCTCCTGCCACAAAATGAGCTTTAATCTGGTGTACTGTTTTTAATGACCAGCAGCTGAGCCTCCCATGCAGTATTAACTACCACCACAATTTCGCAGAGAAAGGCATTTCTTTTTGTTTTCCTTTCAGCGTAACTAGAAAAAGTGCACTAAAAAGACTCCGAGTAGTGCTAGAAACTGAAAGCAGAAAGTTACTATTTTCCCTGATGTGCAACACGTATCCATCTGCAGTTGAATTCTCTTGTGAGGCATCAGAAGATAACATATTGCCTTGTTGGAAATGTGCATTTGGTAACTGATGTCACAGCTCATAAAACTTTACATCTCCATCTTCCTGTTGAACTACTACACCTTCTCTATTGGAACAGCTGGATGCACCCCATAAGAAAAAAAAGTACTCTTCACTGGTGTTGGACTGGTTGTTCATGAGGCCCTTTGAACCTGGTCAGGTGTAAGACATCTAGCAGCTTGTGTGTGTGTGCGCGCAGCTGATGTAGAGGATCTCAGTTCTTTCTCGAGAATGACAGCCCAGACTGTTAATAACAGTGTGTGGGACTGAAAGGCCTGCCTATTCGGCCTGGTTTCCTGGTGCAGTCATATATCACCAGTCCTGTGAAAGGCACATAGTCTGCAAGATGTCAGTGATTCGTCTTCAAGAGACGGACATCAGGGTGTGCACACCATTGCCCAGACTGCAGCTGCCATCTGGCGTCAGACCAGAGCTGCAGGTGGGCAAAGGGAAGCTGTAATTTTATTTTGTCAGATTTCAGTAGTTGAATAAATGGAAACTATCAAACAAGAAGCAGGTGGGTGTTTTTTTTTTTACCTCATTTAGCCTCAATAACCTTCCTTTCAGCAGAGCACCATCGGCTGGTAAATTAATGTTTTGTGAGTGATTAATGGATTTTTGAGACTTATGTGGGGGGGAAAAAAAAAAAAAAAATAAATATACAGGAAATTGTTCACGACAGATTTATTTAACGGTGAGAAAACCGTTTCACATCTTAAAGACCCAATCTGCGTGTACAGCACCATGTCTGCCCTAACTGCGTATACTCAGGAGGAAATCACATTGTAGTGCGGGCATATGGCACTGTACACCAATGACAGATTGTGCTTTTAAAGTAGTTGAATGGCACAAGCATCTCCACTGTTAACAGTGGGACAGGCATTTATAAAAGGAGCATCCGTACAAAAGCAAAGCAGCTGTATACTGTAGCAACCACACAGATAAAGGCATTCTCACTGGCATTCACAGAGGAAGCTGAGAGCTTCTGACATCGCATATTACAACACAGCCCACACTGTTAAAAACACAGATTATATGTATCTGTCACCTTAAATAGAAAACAGAGGTAGAAGCGTGAAACTAAATCCAACCGATACAATCAAAAGAGGTGGTGTCAATGTGGAATATTCACACTCAAACTGAGGACTATACTATAAGAAAGGTTTCAGGCATTAAGGAGATGCAGTCTTCAGAGCAGCTTCCTGCCTCAGGCTGTGAGACTCCTCAGCTCATCCTCAGCTCTCCACCATGTAAAATAGCTTTATTTCTATGACTTATTATTTATTCACCCTTCTACTGTATATTACTTTTGTATACACATTTGGTTTTGAGAGTAGCATAAAAGGATTTTACTTAATGACATTATACAACCCTGTGTTGTAAAATGATAAATATCTCTACCTTGTAATTTGGAATGAAATCATCTTTCATTTATGATCCTAAGGAAGTCTTACATAATATTAGGCAGGAGAGAGATGAGCTTTAAATGATATGATCAGCAGTGAAGGACCTGAGGGAGTATTTTTCTGTGCTTTTCAAGGTACGTGGGCTGATTTTGTCAGAACCGCTAATAATATGAACACTCCCTTTTAAAACAATTTTCTTTGCGCCTACAAGATCTTTCTCAAATTCACTGTCATTGAACCAGCTCTCTGCAACAACACACACTGTATGTAGACTTTGGTTCCCCACTTTCTCACAAAATGTATTAAATAGACAGTTCTCTCACATGAATAATATCTGAATTCTGTGTTATCATATACTTTGATCAGGTTAACAGAAAATCTAATGTTTAACTCTGACTCAACTCACGTAGTTGCAATATGCTTATGTAGGTTTACCTCTGGGGGATCCTGAGCGTTACTCAATCCTCTTTAGCTTTTACTCCTTAGATTCAAAATGACAGTCAAGCACAGAAATATGACACAGGAGGTAGAAAGACAGCAAATATAGGCTGAATATAGCAGAGCTTAAAAGTGATTGACTTGCTTCCTGTCCGTAAAACAGTCCTCCCTACATGCAGTTAGTCCCCGGACCTCTCAACTCAGGGGCTGAATAGTGTCTCCTCCGGACCGCCTCTGCCTCTTTCTTCTGACTCCCTGCTGGCTGTTCTGCCCCTGGGGATACCTGGGGTTGTGGTGCCTTTAGGGACCCACACCCTCCTTCTGACTTCCTGGGTGAGGTTTGTGGCTCCAGGGTGGCTGATGATGGAGGCTGGGGGACTGAGACAGGGGTAAGAGCCAGGCAGACATCCCCCACACTGAGCTGCCGGCACTGTAGGCCACAGAGGCGGGCAGTCCTCTGAGGGTTACAGGAGGACCAGCCCCGCCCACGCACAAAGAACGGGTACTCCACATAGACATCCACCAACTCCTGGAGGAGGATGTTACATAGATAAAGGAGGATTAAACACAGAAATGCCGCATGTACACTTGTTCACTAGTGTTGTGGCCTTGTACTGATCAGATACCACATGCCAAACATTACATTGCTACCCACAAATGAATGACCCATTGTGAAGTTTGGTTAAATCCCTGCCACAGTAATTAAATTATAATTGCTATTTTGTTAGTTTTCTTTGAAGTGAAAGTCCCTGTGGCAAATTTGCATGTAATAATAGAACCTGTGAAATTGCCTGTATGTTGATAAGAATTTTTGTTTGTAGAAAAATAAATCAATCCCAGTGAAAATTGGGAGGTGGTGGCATAAATTACTGTCGTTTGCCTTTAAAAAAAAAAGAATACTAAGGCATCAATGTCAGACATCTACTTTATTTCCTAAAACAGCTGGGCACTGTTGGTTTTAGCAAAGATACTTAGACAGAAGTAAGTGGTGCATTTGTTTGGGACTATTTTCAGCTGTGGATTAATACACATCTTCTTGTTCTAATATTTTTGACACTGGGACAGTGCATGTGGGAGTGCCCATTTCATTATGATGAATGAACTGAAGTCACTAACGAGTGGCTAATGCATGTATTTTAATAGTTTTTGAACAACAGTAGCTCTTTATGGTACAGAGAAAGCGTTGGCTACACATAAGTGTTGTTCTTGTTGGATCAAACAACAAGCCATAGTAAAAGTAAAGTAAACATTAGTTCTTTGTATCTTAATCCCACTCAATTGATAGTATTTTAAACTGATGAAATATTATGCAGATTGTATATACAGCATCTTCTATATGACCTGTATGCAACATTTGGTAGATGTACTATGTAAGAAGAATAATGGCAGCTACTTGAGAAGGGTCAGCTGTGGATGGTGATTAGCACAAAGTGATTTTCCTTCACCTGGGACTGCTGGTCGTGGAGCAGGATGACAAGACGTGAGATGGAGGAGGCTGAAGGAGAGATGCTCTGCACCGTGCAACAGCTCAGGCGTAGGTCTGGACAGGCCAGAGATCCCAGCAGGAAGTCCTCCGTCTGCAGGTGTTCCACCCTCCTCAGCCGCCCGTCTCTGAGCTCGATCAAGGAGCCTGCCACAAAGTGAGGGAGCAGCCAGGGAAAATGGTTAGGAGAGGAAGAGGAGGAAGAGGCCTGCACAGAAGAGGGGCGAGCAGAAGATCTTGATGTGTCCTCCTTCATGGAGGTGCACGTGGTGCTGGAGTTATCATCAGGAGTAAACGAATGTCCAGAAACGGGATATTTTACAACTTTTGTTGATTTGTGCAGCACATCATTTTGCAGTGTGAGGTCCTCGTGTGGAGAGTGAGGTAGGCATGTGCTCAACAATGGAGGACTTGCTTTTTCAACCCTGGGGAAATACTCAACTTTTCTGTCTCTTCTCCGCACATATGGTCCTTTATTCCTCCCATTGCTCTGCCTCTCTGTGTTTAAACTCGTGTCCCTTAATGTCTTGAGCTGCTCCCAGCCGTACCCTCCACCCACCCTTTGGAAACCCTCAGAGACCAGGGAGACAGGGCGGAATCTGGAGGGTTGGTGTGGATGGCCTGGGTGGAGTCCAGGTGTGCCAGACAAGTGGCTATGGTGCTGATAGTGGTGAGAGAAGTCCCATCCAGGGTGCAGGGGGTTGAACTCTCTCCACTCTGGCCAGCTTTGATGCTCCCTGAATGCAGAAAGGACGTGAGGTTTTGACCTGGTGGATGTGTGAGTCTGCATCCAGGGCTGGTATAGTGCAGGAACCCGTTTCGGTACGGGCTGGAAAGGGCCTGTGTGTTTAATCTTAATCTCACTGTGGCTCTTGTAAGGATAGGGCACCTTGAATGTTGCAGCATCACACTGCTGCTGCTGCTGCTGTGGTGGTGAGCTCGGCCTTTGGTCCCTCTTTTTGAGTGGGAGGCTGTCCATGTCTGGGACTAGAGCTGGGTTCTGTGTGAAGCTTATTGGCTCACGCTGCCTGTCACTCACACCGGCACTGCATGCCCTCCTGCAGAAGCTGAGGAGGTGTTGTGATCATGTGACACAGTCTCCAGTCTCTTGGCAAGCGCTGCTGATAGTTAGGTCCAAGGTAGTCACGATCTGTAAAGCAGAATAAACAAATATTGGTGCACTTGGTGCAAACAAGGTGTCGAGCTGGAGAAAATCATTTGATTCTCTTGTTTAGACTCTTTCTCTTTCTGTCTGTTACTCTTAAATTTGTCTGTAAATATCCCCTTGACACATCAACAATAACTTCACCATCAGCTTCAAATAAAGGCTTTCCAACCACCCATGGGGTTTGGTTTGATGGACATCTACCAACTCTTTTGTAAAAAAGTTACTATGGTAACAAAGTTCTGCACAGTGTGGTTGGTGAAGGGATAAGTGTATTGAGGACTATACAAAGTAAAAGGTTGAGGGTGGTTATAAAGTCAGAGGATAGATTATTATCACAAGGTTAAACTTGTCTTTCACTCAAGGTATCATGATGGCATTTTCTACTAGAAACAAAAGAAAGAGCATGTATTCGGTGTCTAAAGAGTTGCAAGATGTTAAGCACACAGCCCCAGCCTGCATCTTTCTCATGGGACTGAAGAGATCTCCAGCACCTCGAGCGATTGAAATCTCATCATTCTCCTTACATGCACGCACCATAGTGAGTCAGTTCACTGAGGGGCGCTAAATTTAACTACCTTGCGGCCACACACACTCACGCACAACAGTTTCTTACCTATTCAGAGACTCTGCAGACACATTGTTTACACAAAGGAATGCAGGAAGGTAAAGAGCAGCACAGGACTTTTACAGCCTGTCAATGCAAAGCTCGTCTCAATGCCCTGTATTATGTCATCATCATAGTTGAGCACAGCCGCTGAATGGACCTCTTTCACTCTGCCTGATGGGCATGTCTCTGATATGAGCTGTTTCTCTGTTATATGTGTGTGTGTGTGTGTGTGTGTGTGTGGGATCAGACAACACCCTCACACTGACATTCCTGTGCAAGCACTCACCATTATACCGTGAGACATAAATAGATAAGTATTTGTCAGCTAAATGCCCACAGTGTAAATGTAAATTAATTCAAATGGCTTAGACGTGTGGGCTACTTACTCACAGTGACAGACACACAGGTATGACCCCATCATGACCCAAACAGGCCTATACTGTAATGTCATCCAGGCTGAGTGACCATATAGGGTGATCAGTATACTACAGGTATCTAATCTACGGAAATGAAATATATATACACAGCAGTGTTTGGTGTGTTTGGTACCATCATGATAATGATAATCTGCACAGAGGACGGGTTTGTTTGCATATCATAAGTGACAATATTGCATTTAGTCAGCGTGATGTTTCTATCTATGGAGCTGTAGTGTAACACAACCAAATTCAACCTACTGTGCTGAATCCCAGAGACCGCAAAGAGTTCCTCAAACATGCATTCAGAGTTAGACTAAATTCAAATATCACAGCTGGCTCTCTTGGCGGAGTAAATGACAGGAAGATCCTACATAAATCAAGATGAATGAAAAAAAAAAAGATGTAGCAGACTTAACTTACATATTCCTCCATCCATCCACCCGTCTCGCTGTGCAACCATCTTCACAAAGCATGTCCACCCATGTTCACAGAGGCTCCACGCACACCTGTCTGGCTCATGTCGTCCTCCCAGGCTGCAGGTGAAAAGGCAGAGCAGAGCGGAATGATCAGAAGCATCCAGACAAGCTCATCAGACTGTCTATCAGACACACTCTCCTCCTTTTTTTCTTCTCCTCTTCCTTTCTCTCTTCCCTCCTACTCGCTTTTACATTTTACACTCCCACTCTACTTAGTCAGGCAGTCCTGTTAACCTTTCTCAGACAGATGTGATGTCTCTCCCTCACCCTCTCTTACTTTCTCTCTCTCTCTCTCTCCCTCGCTCTCTCTCTCTCAGTCTCTCACATCTGAACATGTTCACCCTGTGTTTGCTGCTCAGTAGCACTCTCAGCCTCTCTTCCATTTGTAATAACACTCCTCTTCCTCTCTCCACTCTCTCCCTTCGCTCCGCAGCTCTCTGTTGTTGGGTGTATAATTAGAAATGAGACTGCTGTGCAACTCCTCAGCTGATGGTAGGCGTATGACTGCCTGATGGCTTTGGCGCTTTGCCCGGAGTAGTGAGGGTGGGAAACCGTTGCTTTAGACTAGCTTGGATGCACACAAGCAAAAAAAAAACAAGGGATTGCACAACAGAAATATCACTATCATATCTGCAATCTGAAAGCAAATAGCCCTCACCTGTGATTAACTCCTTTTGCTATTTCTCACTTCCTGCTTGTTTCACCTACGTGGGCAGATGTAGACTAATAATGTTTCATCCTGAAGACGCCATACCAAATGAATGCTTTGAAATCGCGGCTCAAAAGTCAACATTAAATCTATCATCCACAGTAAATGAAGGCATTTCATGGTTGTGCAGAAACATGATATAAACCATGTCCCCTCACCCTCACCGTCACCCTGAAGCCTGCCTGCTTTCAATACAATTTTCCTCACTTTCTTCTTGCTTGCCTACTTGCCTCCCCCCCTTCATCTCAATTCAAAATACAAAAAAAAGAGGACTTGGCTTTTGCTCCAGAGATGTCTCAGCAGCACAGCAGTGCGGGTCTCAACTATTGATTTTGCAAGGCCTCAGCAGGTGAAACCCCAGTCATGAGAAAGCCCACACAGAATTTAGTTTGAGGTGGAGAGGATTTCTCACTTTGAGTCACATCATGTTTCCTCTGCCCACTCACTCTCTCTCTCTCTCTCTCTCTCTCTCTCTCTCTCTCTCTCTCTCTCTCTCTCTCTGTCTTTTTTGTCTTTACCACAACCAGCACATTTAGGCTAAACCACCACTGACATTTACAAAGAGTGTGTTTTTATTGATTATAATCGCCAGTCACACCCACCACTTCCCAACTGCTACCTTACAAACTCGATGTGAAGTTTCACAGTTTCAGCTTGGCGCAGACGTGAGTTTCAGCAGTGAAAGTTTCCGTGCTAATGCACTTGTAGATGTAAGCTAATACAGGGTTGTTATTGTTATTGTTATTCAACGAAGGTTAAAGTCAAGGGCAACTGGACTTGGTTGAAGATACTGGAAGACGTTTCGTCCCTGGATGACCTGGATGACTGAGAATCTTCATTGTTATTGTTGTATTATTCTTATGTGAAGAACTATGCAACATGTTTTTTTGTAAAGTATCCTACAAACAAAGATTTTCCCTCCTGTTAATAAAAGTTATTGGGGATGATCATCTCACTTTGTGCTGATTCTCACAGATTCTTGCAGTGACTCACACCAACAACTTTAATGCCAGCAATTCAAACAAGGCACTCTTTAAAAGCCTCTCTCAGACGCCAGTGCAGTGTTTTGGTAGAAGGCTATGAACCCTTTGCATGCAGATATTTTGTCATCAGTGAGTCCAGCTCGGACGAACTGGAAATGTCGTCTGTTGTCCACTAGATGGTGTCCAGGACACACAGATTAACAGATTAAATGGTGTTTTGAGCGAGAGAGGGAGGAATAACATGCAACAAAGGTCCCTGGCTGGACTCAAACATGGGATGTTGAAGTACAGTGTCCTCCTCTTCAACCTCTAATTCACCAGAGCACAACCAAAGTTAAATCAATGATTAGTGATCTAACATGAATGACTTATGCTAATATACAAATGAGTTTCCACACTGTTTAGAAAAACATAAATAAATCCTTTCTGCCCAAAGTAACAGGAATAATAAAATAATCTGTGATGATTCCTCAATTAATTGATTCATTGTTTGGTCTGTAAAATGACAATGAAAAATTTCTTTCTTCACAGTTTCTTCAACCAACAGTCAGAAACACAAAGATATATCATTTATCAAAAGATAAACAGTGAAAAGCTGCAAATCCTCACTGGATCAAGCAGGAACCACAGACTGCTTTTGGCACTTTTACTTAAAAATGACTTGAATGATTAAGCAAAGTAGTTGCCAATAATTTTGTGTCAAATCTAGGTTGCACTTTGTATACAAATTTAATAGTAGGCCTATATGTAAGGAACAAAATGTTTCTTAAGGGGAAAATTGAAAAAGCCTTTAAACTGTTGCTTACCATGAATGCTCTTTTTCATTTTTTAACATAAAATAAAATAACAATACACTATTTAAAGGGATATTTGTTATCTGTAAATGTAACATATTTTGATACCACTTGACCCTGAAAGCGACACAGATGAGAGAGGGTTTAAACAAAAAAAGGGAGAAAGGGAACAAGAGACAGAAAGGGAGGAAGGGAGGGGGAAGTGTAAGAAGACAAAAATAACAGAGGCAAAATCCCTCCTTCTTCTCAGTCCCTTCTTCGCTCTCCCCCAGCTCCTCCCTCCTCCCCGTCATTGGTCAGCTGGTCGGCTCCACAAAGGCACTAACTTGTTCTCGCCTCATCCAAGTGGCTCAGAATCCACTGAGGGAAAGAAGGGAAGCGGAGGAGAGCAGCAGCCTGTCGGTGTCAGAATCAGTCACTTTGGAGCGCTTCCAGTGAGCAGAGGAGGATGATCGACAGCCTCTCTGGTGAACTCTCACAGGGCTGACCGGCCAACTCACACTGATCATCTCTGACTGATTATCTTTGTTTCCTACGACTCTCCAGCAACATGAGCTCCTCATCAGCCAACGTTCACAACAAACGCCTACCCTGTGAGTTCTGTTTTAATTTTTTTTTTTTTTAATTTTTTTTACTTATTAGCCTTTTGCAGGAACTTCTTTCAGCTCAGGTGGATATTTTGAGATTTAGCCACAAGTTTGCTCCTTTAACACAGCTTTTATTTTTAGATGTAAAGCAGGACGTTGGAGAGGGGAAAAAGATTCTCCATATTTGGTTGTCACAAGTACAGCACACACATAGGTTGAATATTTAAGTCAAAGACACCGAAACTTGAGCTACAATAAAAGTGTGTGTTTGTGCAATTCTCTCAGTTTTGTGTCTGTGGTAAAACCTTTCCCACTATAATTCCACCTTTTCCATTTTATTTTGTTAAAATGTTTCACCTTTTGACATGTCGGAAATACTTTTCTTTATATAAAATGTATTCCATTCTCCATTTCTATGAGGCATAAACTGCATATGTGTGTGTGTGAGATATATTGTAGAAGCCGGTGTGACAGCTCAGCAGCTTAAATAGCTGCCGTTGTGTTGATGTTGTCTGAAGTGACTGGTCCAAGTAGCTGTGCCAGCCAAAAATCAGACAGGAATGTTGAATCATCGCCCTGAGTAATGTTCACTAATACCAAATGAATAGGTCACACTCTCTTTGCACAGGAACAGGGATAGATTCCAACACACACACACACACACATACTGGGGCAGGCTTGGATTGGGGCCACCGCAGAGCTCCAGACAAAGATCTCTTATTTCTAATGGGATTGTGCCTGCAGATCTCATCAGAGTCGGCTGACTGCAGCTGGGTCTGCAGCTCGTTCCACAGACACAACAATCCAGATAGGAAACACAGACCTGAAATTGAATTAGTCCCTGTGAGATCAGTATGTGATTTCATGAGGCTAAAAAGGATCATGACTTTGACTCCAGAGAAGATGTCTCCCATCTGTTGCTCTGCCAACAGCTTCTGTGCCTCCACAGTCAGTGCTGTCACGTTTTGATTATTGGGGGAATGTGCCAGAGAGCAGCACATCAGTGCGCTGTGGAGTGAAGGACTGACCAGCTGTTGTGAGCAGGCAGCAGGGTATTTGATGTAGAAGGAATTACTTCTATTCTCCATGTATTCTTAGCTCAGTCCCCACAGACGTGACCCAGATAGGACTGAAGAGTAGATTCTGTTTAATGAGCAATTTAGTGGGGTAAAAGTCCATATCATGTGCTGTCTGTGTGTTTAATTGATCACATTCTGAGGGATACAGTAAATAACTCTGCTATCTAGTCATTGGAGTTTAATGTCTAAGCTAGAGGGGAGACAAATAGGACCAAATTGAACGCACTGAAGAATGCGTAAACAAAAACATGTGGGTGTTTTTTGCCTACTTTCCCCCATCTCTCCTGAACTGACAGTTGGACTTGCAGACTTCTCATCTCTCCTGCTTTGGTTCTCTTCTCCTGAGCTCCAGTGCATGGCTGAAGCTACCACTGAAACAATGACAACAAGACATCATGGTTTAAGTCATGTTGAGGTTGAGATATGTTATTGTGCAAATACATTCAACAACTTAAAAAATACATAATTTTCCCATTTCTCACCGGATCACATACAAAATCCTGGTCCTTACCTACAAAGCCATTCGCCACCTGGCCCCTTCATACCTCACTGTCCTCCTCTCCCCCTACCAACCTTCGCAGTCCCTCAGATCCACCTCAGCCGGTCTCCTCTACGTCCCCAAGTCCAAGCTCAGCAGTTTTGGGGACAGAGCCTTTTCCAGGGCAGCTCCCAGGCTCTGGAACTCCCTCCCCCATGAGATCTGCACCTCTGAGTCCCTCACCGTTTTCTTCAATTTCAGACTGAATAATTAAATTAAAACGAAGCAGTAAATCATTTAGATTATCAGGCTAATTAAACAATTAACAGAATAAATAAAATGTTAATGTAACTCTAGTCACTTTTTGCTGGGTGAGGGGGGCCTCTGGCTACAGACTTTGTGTTCAAAGGTATAATTGGTGATAATTACTGATAAACACTGTCACTGTCAAATAATACACTACCAGAATTGTTGTCTGGATCCAGTCTTTAGTAAAAAGCAAAAAACAGGATCATTACTTACCAGTTTGAGAAAAGCTCACATGGTGCAAATACGCAGATTATTCTATCACAAACAACTCCTTGTGGCATGTCAGCACTTAATGTTAATTAAGTGTGTTTGTTTGTGTCTGATCATACTAAACAGCCTTGCATGGATGGCTGAATAAGGTTCCCATCAATTCAGCAGTCTAAGCTGTGCAGCCCTGGGGACGTAGACCAGCTCCTCTCATTAGTTCTCTAACAAATCCATCTACTCACTGTTCCGCTGAATCCTCAGGGTACAGAGCTGCTGCCTCCGGGCAAACACTGAGTGTTCAGAGCCCCGCAGAGAAAAACAGCAGTAATGTATCATGTGAACACTCTTCAAAATGTGTAAACTATGTAGCACAAAGTCACCTGTTTGATCAGTTAATGATTTGAAGCTTGTTCACTGAGGCGCTGATATTGCTGAGAGGAGGAAACGTGTCATTCCTCCGAGTTTAACAAAAAAAGGGTGGGAAATTAAACCTGCAATTTTTGCATGAAGAATTGATTAACAAACGATCAAATGACTATGTGTATGTGAAAAGGATCTCCTGCAGGGAAACTGATATTGACTAATGCTAAGCTCTACGGAGCATTTCATTGATTTTCAACTCATTGTTTTGGTTCACTCTCACTGTTCTCATAGTGCAATTTTCAACCCCAGCAGTTTTCAGCAAAAAAAAGCTCTAAAAACCCACTGTACGCTGCCTGGCCAGCACCAAATGAAAGACAAAGACAAAGTTAACAACTTGCTGGTGAACATAATGTAGCATTTAGCAGCTGAAGAGCCAGAATTTTCCCTCAGTAGATGGTTGTGACCAAAAACAGTGCTAAAAGAGAGTGACTGTTGGACTTGCATTTACGACTCCAAATGAATGGGAATGCTGCTCTGTATCTGCTGGATGTAAATGAGCAGCTGTTTGCTATTATGTTTGCCATAGAAACGTTTAAGGTGATAATATCAATGTTGGCAAAAGAAAATCACATATTGCAGGTTTTTTAGAGGTCATATTATGCTCATTTTCAGGTTCATCATTATATTTAGGGATTGTACCAGAACAGGTTTACATGGCTTTATTTTCAAAAAACACAATTTTTTGTCATACTGCACATTGCTGCAGCTCCTCTTTTCACCCTGTATGTTGAACGCTCCATTTAGCTATGGAGTGATACATCTTACCTCTACAAGATCTTTGCTGGGAGTTGCACATGCGCAGTACCTAGTTAAGGAATACTAGCCAATCAGAAGCAGAGAAGGGCGGGTCCAGAAAAGCCTTTAAACACTGCTTCGGTTCAGATGTTCCCCTTACCAGTTTAGCAACATGGACTGGAGCAAGAGTTTCAGAGTGGTGAGTTATTAATCTGTAACAAAAGTATCTTTCATCCATAAAGGTTTAACTGAGCTCTGTCTCTACATCACAGTAACAACTTTATGCCCACTGACTGCCTGGAGGGTAGCTGAGGGTAGGTACTCAGGACCTTTTCATTGGTTCATGAAGTTTGGTGATCTCATGTATTTCCAGTACAACTAACTTGAGCATTAGCCAATATGCAACAACACTTATTTGGGAGTGCAAGGGCTATTTAAAAACACAATAAAAAATACCAGACTAATAGAAATAAAGTTGTAGTGCAGGTAAAGTGCATTATTAAGTTTCCCAAAATGTAGTAAATGAAATTAAAGTGCAGTAGAGGAAACTGATTTAAAAAGATGACAAACCCAAAAGCATATAAAGTTAGAATTATTATTGGAGCTTACAGTTAAACAAAATATTCATAATAGAGTTAATAATAATAATAGTAAATAAGATTGTGTTTAGTCTTCTGTAGCTAGCACAGCATGCCACCCTGCCTCAACCTCAACAAACAGAGGAGAAATGTCTGAGAGGCTGTGTTGACTTTAACCAAACATTCCTACAGTTCTCCCAGCTGACCAAAAATAGCTTTAAACCAACCAAATATGTGAAGAGGCAGCGCTGCTTTCCCAGGAATAACAGGGTGTGAATGTTGAAGAGAAATGAGATGAGAGAAGCCGGCATGTATTATAGTTAATGGTGAAAGAACAGCTTCTCTGTTTGCCTTGCTCTCTTGTGAAGGCACACCCAGACAGAGAGGATACTCATATAGTCAACCATCACTAGATGAGTTCATGATCTTTGGTGTGACTACAGATTTAATTATCAGAAAAATGTGTGACAGGATTCTCTGAGCTCAACTATGTTCCCATGTTCTCCAGATGTACTTTGCATTAACACTGTTGATATAAGGCAGATACTTTACTGATGCTGTAATTATAGTAGATAATTGCTTAATTGTTAATAATAGTATTCTACTGTTTGTTAATAGTAATTTTGAATAAGAATATTAGTTATTGTGGAAAAAAAACATGGGTATGTCAGTACTTTGTCAGCTGGTTAAGGCTATTGTGTTGATAAGAACTCATGACAGTCTGCTTGTTGGCTTATGGAGGGCAGTGGGACAGGACACTGACCTACTAACAGTTCTATTGTTCGTCTGGGTGTAATCTAGGCAGGACTTAGAAGCAGGGAGAGGGTTAACACTGATGTCATTGTTGTCCTGACAGGCCGGGCTGATGGTGCTGGACACTGCTTTGTCCCAGCAAGATCTAATATGCAAATAAAAACACACACACATGCACTGAAACATAATCCAGAGAGACACACAAATCAAAAGATGTCATAAATAATTTACAACTGGAGCCCAGTAAATGGCAGCTATTTGAAGAAAGAAAATAGGGATTGAGAGAAACCAAAAATAAAAGTGTGAGACAGAGCAAGTACAAAGATATATTTGTCCATTTTACAAGTCTGGCCACCTGTCTGTTCCTCTTTAAAGCATCAGTTCTGATGAATGAGACAAAGCTACATGCAAGGATTGTGTTGAAACTGAGATGCAGTTGCTGGA